GTCTAAAACATTTTTCTCTGAAATATAATATTTTGTTTAAAAAAGGTGGTCATTTAAAATGGGACACTCTGTATATACATACATAATTATATATATATAAACAAAGGAATATAATGGGCTTACTAAACATGATTATTTTGATAACATTTTTTAACATTTTAAGTACAAAAATGATTTAATACTATAATGAATCAATAAAACAATCTCATAAAATAACTTCCGCACCTATGTCAGTAACTTGATTCTATATTTATTTTGTTGGAAAGATATCTTTCGAAGATTAAACACTCTTAAAGATTAAACAAACTGCGACAGAAGACAATAATCATGATACTCGCCTGCAAGTTAATGCAAAATCTCTACGATCAACAATTCAGGTCATGGTTACAACACTGTGTTTCGCTTATTTTACGACAATATTCACACTTACTGAAAAATAATTATATATTATAAAAAAGATAGAAAATATACGGAAAATTTTTATTTTCTGTTTTTTATATTTTTAATTATTTGATTATTACAAATTTGAATATATAATATACAACTAATAATAATAAACGTTACTTGATGACTGTACTTTCAAAAGAATATTATCTACGTGGATATCTACGTCATATCTTGAACAACGGATTCAAGGTAACCCGGACATAAAACGTTTCGTGCTTAACGCGAGTCCTGATGTACAATTACAGCTATAACCGCATACACAGATTACAAGCTTGTGTAGCATTTCTACCAGAAATTCGTATGACGGTAAGAAATTTACCTATAATGCCGGATATTAATTCGTAATATTTCAGAATATTTAAAAAATATTTTATTAAATATTTTGTTTATAAAATATTTTTTAAAATAATTACTATCATAAAATTAATAAATAATTAAAGTGATAATATTTTAGAAAAAATTCCATACAGAGTCATTCAATAATGTAATTAAGCGATGGGCACTTAATCATCTTACAGAAAACTGGTACGATAACTGGTACTTAAAGGAATGATTTAATCACACATAATTACTGTTATTCACATGATTAATCTTCATGTTTTTTATCGCGAAAAAAATTCGTAAAATTTTAAATAGCAAAAAAATAAGAGAAAAAATTAAAAATAAAATATGCAAGAAATATTTGTGGTAAAGAAAAAAATATATATTGCGAATTTAGATGCGGTTTGCTTTGTATAATGACATATATATTATAAAAATATACGGTTATACATACACTTGGCAAAGTATTTTGACACGATTTATATAACATAATTGTTTCAAGGCTTTGACAAATATTTCGCAGTTTTTCACGCGATTACATAAAGAATGCGTCCAGCTAACTTCCATAACTTGCATGTCATCTGTGCCCAAGGTCTAAATAATTATATATTTCTGTTATTTTTTTTATAATAGAACAATACCACATATATTCAAAAATTTAATTAAGCAATTAAAAAATTTGAAATATTCGCGTATACATTTTATACATTTATTATTGCTTATATATGAATTGAAGTGTGAAATTGCACATTTACATACGCTAATCATTTTGATTAATCGGAATCAATCACTCTCGACGCCTATCGATCGATAATTACCATCCACCAGACAGGGAGACTTTGAATTTCAATGACACCTCATCAATGAGAGAAGGGAGAGAAAAGAAAGAGAGAGAGATAGCGAGGAAGGAAGCAGCCCATTCATGCATGACACATGCGTAAGGAAGTATGCGTATGTGTGGGCGCACACACTCTACTTACGTTCATTCATAAAAATCTTAGCCTTCATAGAAGTTTACTTATGTGTGTCTGTATGTCTGAAGCATATTATAAAATTTATGAATCGTAAGATCATTGAGTCACTCTCTCTCTCTCTCTCTCTCTTTCTTTCCATTCATCCGGCTAAATAAAGTACGATTGTCAGAAAAATTAAGAATTAATATTTGTTATAATAAAGAATGATCTTTATCATCCATCTTTACAAAAGAGTATCTTTATCAAAGATAACTTGTTATTTGAACAAAATATTACTCTCTGTTAAATATATCAAATCGTAAAATTTGATAAAAAAGTTCTTAAAAAAAGTAAATAAAAAACTAATGGTTAATTTCTTTTCATCTATAAAATATTTATAATTATAACAAAAATAATAAATTATTTTATTATATTTTATAATTCTATAAAAATAATTATAAAATTAATTGCGAAAGAAGTAAATGCTTATAAGAATTCAATTTCTACTCTAAAAAGAAGCGTTTAAGAATCAATGATCCAAAGATTGCATTTAAAAAAATTTACTGCCTAAAATGACAGAGAGATGTATGTCGAATTTTATAATCTCACAAAATATCTAAATGAATGTATTTTTTATATTGTGCTCTCTTCCGCACAAATATATTCATGCCATAACTTTGCAATTACAATACAGATCATATTTCTTTATTGATTTATTTTACACGAATAACAAAGTCCGAACGTTTCATCTAATGTCTATAAAGGTGTTTTAAAATCAGGTAACCAAATTTCAAAAACACAAATAAAAAAAGGTTTATTATTTTGAAAAAGAGCGTTTGTTTTTAAAGTTTGGCCATTTATTTCTGAAACATCCTATATATTTATAATTTTAATATAAAGCTTTTCCTCTTAAAAGTTTCATAAATTTAATTCTCACACAAAATGATACGTATGTAATACACGAATGCACACAATGTAAAAGTAAAAAGAAAAATCTCATTTTTTTTACTTACTTCATCAGCAAACATACTCGTCGTACGATTCAACCATCAGAATATTAATCAGACCGTGCATAAATGATAAATGTGATTAAATAGTTGTAAGAACCCGTCGGTCAAGTCAATCTCCTCGATAATCGCTGCTTGCCTAATTTACAGTCTAGACACACGATATACTTTGATAATTCTCGCGTGACTCATCTTTTGCACCATGTATAGTGACTAACATGATAACGGTAATTTTATCGAGGGCTTCTGGGACCACTTATATACTATAAATAAGTTTAGGGAGAATTTTAATAAAACATCTCATCTCTCTTGTGTTTTAATTGCTCCGATTATCATATAATTCATATGTACATTATATGTACAGGCGAGTGTTTATAAAATACTTGGACAAACTTTTAGGGTATATTCCTCACGTACGATAAAACTTTTTACTATATAATATCATTACTATTCATCTTAGTATAGAATATAAAAGTTTATATATATAAACTTTTTTTCTTCATTTTGACATGAAGAATGTGCTTTAGGAGTTTATTCAAGTCTTTCGTATAAGTACCCTATATATGTGACTATTCTTATTTGCGAAAACAAAATCAATACAGAGTTGGCTATACAAATGAAAGAATACACGCGATAGCAGATCGATTGGCTAACTTTCTACGCAACGATATGAAACATCTGATTGCGAGGACTGCCATTTTATGCGAATCTAGAACGCGCATAAGTGAAAAATAGAGTGCTCTTCGTGTTCGATACAAGGGATGAGTCAGTTTAAAGCGAGCAAATCTCTCTGTACTTGGAATGTAATGTCATATGAATTGGATTTAATGACAATCTTCTGCGCGTATATCATTCTTACGACACACATGGTCTTTTGCGCGAGGAAAGAGCACGTCTTGTGTAACACTGGACCTCGCATCGTAATTTTAGATAGTAGAACAGAAATGTCACGTGATTGATGTGAGATTTCCATATATGTGTATATATGTAAAACGATACATATTATGGTAAAATAATTTCTACTTTACAGTTCATCGTACGACTATATAATACAATTGATCAAATCGAGATTGATAACAAGTGATACCGAAGACTCCAGTCTAAATTTACATAGGAGATAAGACACACGGATATCTTTAGTTTCACTTTCGAAGTTCGTAAAACGTCAAGGTGACACAGAGTTTAAAGGCCAAGTCTTTGCGAAGTGACGAGACTTTTCTGTCTGCGATTTCATGATATGATATCTTCTCCTTGAATAGATACAAAACAATATAGATTATCCTTCGATTTGAAATCTGTACGCTAAAAAAGTTTCCATTTTATAAGAATTTTTTACTTATTTTTAGAATTCCCTGTTCTAAAATAATAAACGTCAAAAGGACCACCTTATATTTTATTGCGAAAAGAATTAGTATTATATTTCTAATTTTATATAAAAGTGTAGACGAAATAAGATTATTTTTATATTACAAAAGAGTACTTATTTTCCAGTACACGGGCAAAAAGAGATTATAAAGAAAGCATAGACATATATATAGTACAGATCGAATATGAAGCATGAGACCTGAGTCTTATAAAAAAGTAGATTAAATTAGGTTATATTTACATGTTACTTATTCGTGAGCACTTATTTTAAATCGCTCAATTCTTCTTTTTTAAACCATTTATTATAGCTTATTTAGTTTTATTCTTTATTTTGTTGATTTCCATTCTTTTAACTAAAATCATTCAGTGACAAAATATTGCATAGGGAGAGGGGAGGGGGACAACATTATATATATAGTATTACAATAATAATATGACCATATAACTTCTCAAAATTATTAATCTTAGTCACTAATTATTAAAATAGGAGAGTAGAAATAATCAACCAGAACTAGCGTACTATTTCGTTTATTAAACTTTCAATTGTGAAATTTTAATAAACAAAATAGTACGCTAGTTCTGGTTGATTATTTCTACTCTTCTATGACCATATAACGTTAAATAGACCATTCGTATAAAAACCATGCGATTTTTATTATTAATAAAGAACATATTCTTAGTTTTATAGGATGTTTTAGAAACACTTATTTAAGAATATCTGTTAAGAGGTTTTACAATATAGTCTTCTACTTCAAGAATACAATTTTTTATATATACTAAAAAAAGCAGTATCTCCATATATGTTTAGGTATTTTAACGCGTAATCATATAAATAATATATAATTTTAAATAATAAAATAATATTATTTATTTTAAAAAAGAGAATACCTTATTTTTAATATTGCAGAATTATCTGGCGCAATATGGATACTTGCACCCATAAATCCAGAAAATGGTGCCTTCTTAAGCGAAGAGAAGCTGACGACAGCAATAGAAGAATTCCAAGCATTCGCCGGTCTCAACATTACAGGTATGTTACATATTATTTGTTTAAATTTAGTTTTAAACATGATATAAATATATACAAGGAAGAGATGACTTGGAATGATGGATCAATTTATTATTGGGCCGGTTGATAAATGCATCCTCATTAATGATTCATCACGCAAAGAAAATGACAAAGGATGCGTATTATTTATACTTTTATACTAATATGTCGCGCCAGTATATTCATATATGACTCAAAAAAAGCAAAAATAGCAAAACGCGTGAAATTCTAGAGGTACAATCACAATCCTGTGCGCATGTCAAATCAACATGAAGACTATGATAACAGTAGGTGGTTCCCTGTTAGCTGGTGATTCAGAATTCAATGAAATGCGACCGAACTCCATCTGACATTTCAGCAGTGACTCATTACATGTAGCAGCCTTGTCTCTCTTCCTCTTTCCCTCTCTTTCTCTCGCGAGAAATCATTGTACTCAGAAATACTTATATTATGAAATATCGATTAAAAAAGTAAACGCAAGAAATCTTGAGACCAAAAAATGCATTCGCACAACTGCGATTGAATATTGTCCTAATAAAGTTTCCTGATGACTGAGAAATATATTAATTTTTGCTTCATTAGATATATAAAGCTATTATGCTTAATCTTTATGCAGTACGAAAAATTACAAAAATGATGATTCGAGACGAAAGCATACAAATTTTACCAGTCATTAATGATAGTACATGAGAGTCCATGGCTAGAACAAGCAACGGAGTCATCCAATAAAAACCGAAGGTGAACGGAAGAGTGATCTAACTGTAGAATTGTAGGCCAGCCGGTGGTGGCATTATCCGAGATGAAGCGTGTTCATTGGTCATAATCGTACGCATTGTTGACGCATCCACAGTTACAGAAAAGATATAATTTGTAAAAACATGAGGAAGAGAAAAATTTTTTTAAAAATTGATGTATAAAAATATTTTTGAAACAATGATTTTTACTTTTTGTATTCGATATATTACTTGTAGAAACTGTCACCATTGATTTATTTACCTATTCATTCGCAACAAAATTTTTTCATGATAGATAAAAGATGGAAAGAAGAATATAGACAGTGTAAAAGAGTGAAAATTATATAAAATGTGCAAGAAACCTTATAAAACAAAAACTGCATTTTGCACAACTGCGAATATGAAAAACTAAAATGTGTAAGAAATAGCAGCACGTAGAGAGAAAGTTTCGAAGTTATTTTATGAAATTTAAAAGGTACACTTCTTGCGAGATTCTGATCCGGAAACAAAAATGCAATCTTTGTCGCATGTAATCATACGCTCCGAATCTTTGGAACGATGAATCAGTAAATATCGAGTCGCGTGACTGCGCTGCTGCGAAACTGACGGTAGCATATGTTATACGAGAGTTAACTCTCATATTACTATGTATGCATATTATGCATACATTCATGAGAATTTAGTACGTGCACGGGATGTGCGAGAATACATGCGCGCACACATACACATACACACAAGTACACACACATACTTATATATCTACGCATAAAAGACGTAAACTAGTACATGAAAATACATGTATATACACACGCCAACAGAGGCTACGTACTTCAAGAATCAATATACTCGCGAATCCCCGGTCATTTAATTACTTTTATCACGCAATTATTCGAAGATGATATAGAAACAATGTAGAATATAAAGAAGAGTTTCTCTTATTAAGAGTAACCAATATTTCGAGTTTATATATCCAATTGAAAGTAAATAATAAAATTTATATTCAATTTTTTATGCTATTTTTATTTCAGGTGAATTGAATGAAGAGACTGCGAAACTTATGGCTACACCAAGGTGCGGCGTTAAAGACAAGGTTGGACCAGCCGCCGATGGAAGGTCGAAGAGATATGCTCTTCAAGGTAAAATGAAGTAAAATCGAAGTACAAAATTAAATTTAAGACTTAATAACAACGATATTTCGTCACGTTATGTCATGGAAAATCGAACGATTTGTCACGGTAATTGACAAATTTAAGAAAGTTTAATGCAATCCAGATTGCGCAGACGTAACCGCAGGATGTGATATAACTTTACGTTTGATCAATTGCAATCGATTATCTAATCGATGGTCATTTCCTAGAAACCCACTCAGTGAAAAACAGTCCAAAATTCAATGTTGGTTATGTTAATAACTTCGCTTATCACAAAATTATGAAAAAAGGATCAACGTGTTATATTTTATTAAATATATAGATTATTTCACATATTTATATTGCGCAATGTTGTATTCATTTCATGAATATATATGTACATACGTTTGACTGAATTTCGCGCATTTCGACTTCCTGTTCTGTTTCACTACTACTATTACGAGTTGTTGATATAGAGTCAGTCACCCTAAACGGGTTACACGGATCTCTATCGCGATAGTAGTTTGTTGGATGCTCTAGATGCATTTCAAAGTCCAGTCATATGTGAATGGTGCTGCACAATCATACACTTTGTTATTTCGTCAATATACCAAAAATATTTACTTGAACAAACTTGTAGGATATATTTGATCTCACAAATCAAAGTAAAGAAAAAAGTTTAAACAGGGTGTCCCATTTTAAAAGATCCACTCAAATATCTCAGAAACACTGCGTTAAATCGAAAAATGTTTTAAACAAAAGTTGTATGGTTTTAAGGCGGCATAAGATAATGGATAAAGATTTAACCTTGAATAGTCGTTTGAAGGTCACGTAAAGGTCACCTTCAATTTCTTAAATGAAATCTACTATTTTTTAATGTATATTCTTGTAGCTTGTTTCGAAACTTTTTCAAAACATCATAATAAAATATTTGTTTCATTAAAGTACTTTTCAAATTATATATAAGGCTTGAAGTTAACAATTTTTTGACATAAAATGTAAAATATCTTGTAAAATATTCAGTTTTCGGTAACCTTATTACCTTGATACTTATGCACGGAATAATGAAATCAATCAATTGATGTAAAGAAAACACAGTTACTTTCAAGAAAAAGTACATAGCTGCATGTTGCAAATTACATACTTCTTTTTAAACAATTATTTGCTTTCTTTACCTGTACATATACCTCTAATAAAAAATTAATAATTGCGTTATAATAAAACAAAGTTTATGTTATTATTAAATAATTAAGTAAATATAAACACTTAATTCACAAGAAGTGTCCAACATGACCGCCATTTGATTGAAGACAGCCAGAATTTTATCTATCTGAGAATATTTAAAACGTCTTTATTGATAACGAACAGCTGATACTCTTAATACATTATCAATGCTTGTGATATAATATAAAATCACTCATTTTTTTTATTAGCATGAAGAATATGCTTAAGAAGTTTGTTTAAGTATTTTGTAAGCATCCTGTATATCGGTATATGGAATAATAAAGTGCATGATTGTGCAGCTTGGGACTAACCATGACTTTGAACCTAAGCTGCGCACACGTGCCCTTCATGTTTCAGTGAACTTGCTATGAAGTTCGGCCATGCATACATCCTACGGAATATCTGTCGCAAAACTTAACACCTAGCGGTGTAAACCCAATACTTTTAGTTGTTATATGTTTTAGCCTTTGATTTCATTTTTTCTAATTTCGCATAGCTACGAACGAATCGTTGCGTAACTCTTTGCACGGTATCATAATTGTCGCGCGTACATATATACAATATCTGTATATTGTATGTATAAATGCAGTTGTTGCATAAATCGTAGCTTTGTAACCATGATGAGCATATAACACGCGAGCTGCGATTTTTATTTCTACGGGTATAATAAACAACAACATGCGTGATGACAATAATAGCGCAACCGTGGATTCCGCAAATTTATATGTAATTTAAATAAAAGAATAGGAACGTATCATACGCGCGCGCATGTCGATTTCTAGCTACGATGCGGATGGTGCAAATAGATGATGCGATATAGCGTATTTATAATAGGGAAACTGTCCGGTGTGCGGTATCATATTAATAAACAAAACAAATATGCTTTTTTGCTCTTCATGTACTTAAAACTTATGTATTTTCTCTCTTCCAGGATCTAGATGGCGTACAAAGAATCTAACATACAAGATTAGCAAATATCCGACTGGTCTGAACAAACAGGAAGTGGATAAAGAAATCGCGAAAGCGTTCGGCGTTTGGTCAGGTGAAACTGATTTAACGTTTACCCGCAAAACTGGACATGAAACCGTAAGATAGCACTCTCTTCGATAGAAATGTATAAAATTTGTATAACAAATTTCTTCTTTAACTTTTGTATCACATTAATCGGAAACACGGATAATATATTCTCTATAAGTTCTGGAACTATTTGTTTAGGTTCACATTGAAATTAGATTCGAAGTAGGCGAGCACGGCGACGGTGATCCTTTCGATGGACCCGGTGGTACTTTGGCACACGCGTATTTTCCCGTATACGGTGGCGATGCTCATTTTGATGATTCTGAACGTTGGACCATTAAAAGCTATCGCGGTACCAATCTCTTCCAAGTCGCAGCTCATGAATTTGGACACTCGCTCGGTTTAAGCCACAGCGACGTTAAAAGCGCTCTGATGGCACCTTTTTATCGCGGTTACGATCCGAATTTTGTTCTAGATCAAGACGATACTTATGCTATTCAGGTATTTACAAAAAACATTTCTTAGAAATGAACAGATAAATGATTCAAACGATAATTCAAGATTAATTATCTGATATACAAAAAAAACGGCTAATTTCAGGCTCTATACGGAGAGAAAACTAAACATCACGGATCACGAGGATCTACATCGCCGCCTGCCGAAGAAGATCCTGAATTGTGCAAAGACCCCAAAGTTGACGCAATGTTCAATACTAAAGATGGCGAGACTATTGTGTTCAAAGGTACATACGCGAGTTACGATTTTTAATCGCGAACGTTTGAATCAATCAACAAACGTACAAAACAAACACGAATATCAATGGAATTTTCAGGAAAACACTATTGGAAATTAACAGACAACGGTGTAGCTAGTGGCTATCCTAGACGCATTGATAGCACTTGGAAAGAGCTCCCATCAAACATAGACGCTGCATTTACATACAGGAATGGCAAGACTTATTTCTTCAAGGTAACTATTTATCGAGAAACCAAGATAAATATTCACATTTATACCTTACACGTTGTGTGTGTGTGTGTGTGTGTGTATGCAGCCATAAATTTTACTGACTATAACTTATTCCCCAACAAAAACTGTGTATCATTTCAGGGTACGCAATACTGGAGGTATATTAATACGTCTATGGACGGTAATTATCCAAAGGAGATTAGCGACGGTTTCACCGGTATTCCCGATCACATCGACGCGGCAACTGTATGGACCGGAAACGGCAAAATTTATTTCTATAAGGGTGCGAAATTTTGGCGCTTTGATCCAGCGTCGAAGCCACCAGTAAGGAGTAATTATCCTAAACTTATTCAAAACTGGCAAGGCATTCCAAATCACGTTAACGCAGCAGTAACCTATAAAGGTTACACGTACTTCTTCCAAGATAATGCCTACTATCGATTCAATGACCGAACGTTCAGGGTAAGTGTACATACAAATCATTTTTAATTAAATTTGTATTATTTCCAGCTGCTTTATCGCAATACACAGAGTGGCCCATGTAAATTACAAAACCAATAACTTTAAAAATATATTTGTTGAATCAAAAAAACTGTTCGTGGTAAAGTTTTGTGTATTCGCGAGGAGACTTTCTAACTACTAATAGTGCTGTATAGTAATAGATAATAATAGCTTTCACTACCCTCCTTCCCCCCTCTCTCTTCATCCTATTTTCCACATGGTGCACGCCTATTACTAAAATTACTCAATATATTATTATTTATATAGAATTAAAGTAAAAACAATTTATCTTTGCCTTGATAGGTGGACGATGCTGATCCCGCTTTCCCAAGATCAACGGCGTATTGGTGGTTTGGATGCAAGTCTGCTCCTAGAGGGACGCTAGGTAATGATCACTGGCCATTCGCATTTGCCAATAATCTGGACGTGGCTGACATTGACATGCACGACAATTACGATAGTCTTGACAGCGTCGGTGACATCATCTTAGATGCAGGTACAAAATCTTTCGAATCCTGTCTAGCCTCGAAAAAATTTTTTTAAAGATATCTATTATATTATTATTCGCTACAACATTTATTTGAAGAAGAAGATATTGTCTCTTGAAATTCTCTTAATTTAATTCGAAAAATATAAATGCTTGTTAATTGTGTTTTTTCTTATAATATACTTACAAATTTTATTCACTTCACTTTTATTGAGAAGCGCGTAATTACTACTATATCATATAATTATTAACTGTCGTTGAAAAATAATACGCAATAAAAATGTTCCAAGAATAACGGGATGAATAAGTTTCCATGAATTTGCGTGAATTGCACTTCCTTTAAATTAATACAACGAGAATCTCGCAATTCTAATGGATACTAGTAATTCACTTCGCTCGTTCTACTTTATTGAAAATAATATCCAATATGAATAAAACTGAAAAAATCTCCCTAATATAGAGGCAGGCAGGAAATGCGAAAAAGATTTTTTATTAAAAATATTTTTATTAAAAAGATTTTCTCGCGCACCTGGCTATAATACTAGGGCTATTTCGCGAAAAGAAAGAGACACATGCATACGCAACATTAAAAAAAAAAATATATATCAGTTTTTTAAATTTTTAATTATGAGTTGAATACAATAATTTATTCAGATATATATATATATATCTGATATATATATAATATAATATTAAAACAAACCAATAGATTAAAATTAAAAGATTTTTTCCAAAATATTTTCCAAGATATTATATAATATATACAATTATACAAATAAACATCACGATTCATGATGGCTCTTTCATATGTTTTATCGAGTCACAGATCGTTAAAATCTGATGTAACGCAACAGATAATGTTGTTGCATGATGTGAAAAGAATTTCGCGAACATTATCAAACGTATAATAATTCAACAGGGAACACCTATACATAGACACACATTTTCGATATGTCGAAATAACGAAATTATCTGAAATATTAAAAAATAAAATAAAATGATCGCACATGATTAATCTACATATATAGAAACATTCATAGTATTATTTTGAGAATTTTAATACATTCCCAGATAGCCACAGTAATTATTATGACATCATTTTGATGTGGTTATAACACAAGTATTCACATAATTAATAACATTTATCAAGGATAAATAACCAAATTGAAAAGTAACAAATAATTAATATTAATTAATTTTATGAGGAGATTTATCGCTTATTATTCACACATATATGCTATATATTAGATTTATTGTATATGTAGCACCAATAACTTATCAACATCATAACCATTTTTATCGCTATTCGATGTTAACCATTTAATCTCCAATCATCAAATTACATCATCATCATATCACTATGCATTCACTGATTAAAGATTTGTCATTTTGCATATTTCATTGCTTATAATGCTATAGTATAATAATATCGTGACATTATTAATTTTGCCAAAGCCCAGAGTATTTATTAGCCAGGAGACGGATGAGAATAGAGTTTTATTTTCGAAAACCTCGATATCAAAAAATAAAAAAAACGATGATCATGTCAAAGCTTCGGTTTGTGTCATCGTCGCCATATCCAGTTTGACAAGACAAGAGTAAATATTGAGTACGAGAGAGTAAGACTTTTATGACGTTTTCTCTTTTTTCGTTTGCACAGATGGCTTTTATTAGCACATTATAATGTGGGGTTGTGGCGCATAGACAAAACTCCGTTTACTTTTGTTTATGCGTGGTGTACTATGCTTTTATCCCTTATTTATGTACTCTGGCTTCGTCTCTTCTACACATGATTTTTATTTTATAAAAGAGAAGTAGTATTTTATTATAAAATTATCATTTTTATGTTGCATGTGAACCTTTTCCTTTTGCATCATCACTCACAACTTTTGATCGAATATCACATGTAGCAAATAATGAATCAAAGTTATACTGCACCTCAATTTATTGTAAAACCTATACACATAAGAATACACACGTGCACACATCTGCGCACAAATATGAAATTAAATATGGTGCATGAGTAATCATTGCCACTGGCAGTTGCGTTGTTTGGAACTTAATATTGCATACAAACATAAGGGTTTCCGACTAGTCCCTTCTAAACTAACAATATGCTGATGCTTACAGAAAGTTTCCCTTTATCTACAATTATTATTTTTATTATCCTTATTTATTGTATTTTTCCTATTTTATTCGCACAAATTCTTTTTTACACGCACACGCGTTATATTATATTTTACTTTTCCTCATACATACTTGTTTTCACTATTTTCTCGAAAATTATTTGATGTATTAGTCGAGATTGAACGCTCTGAAAACACAGCATGCACTGGTCCTGAGTTGCACAATCTTTCTCTTATCTCTTTAACTTACAATATTGATAATTTATTTTGGAAATTTTCTATCAAATATTTTAGTTTTGATTATATATATGCTCTCCTTTGCCAACGTGCTTTTTATTTCAATTACTTTTTATTTTATTATCGATTGTTTAAATATCTCTGAGAGAAGTTATAAAATATGATTTTTCTTTTCAAAATTTGATACGTATTTTTATATATATATATATATAATTCTTATTACTTTATATTATATTTACTTTTTAATTCAATTTATTTAAACATATATTTGTACAATGTAAGAAAATAATATAAGAGAGGAAAAATATAATTCACCCGACTCAGTATATTGTACATGTACATGTATATATATAATGTATGTATGTGTATGCGTGTGTCAGATAGTAAATGTACATCATTTGACATTATTTGATGTCAAAATGAAGTGTTCTTGCTGTCTGGAATGTACATATGTATACAGGGTGTCCGGTAACCAACGGACCAATGATTAAGGGCGGATTCTCTGGCCAATTTGGAGACGATTTTTCTTGGCAAAAATGTTGAGCAGTCAATAATTTTCGAGTTATAAGCGATTGAAAAAAATGGGTTTTTTGAAAACTAAACGTTTTGGAGTTAAAAGTCTAACATAATTACATTCTTCAGTTAATTTCAGGTAGAGTTTACTATAATAAAATTTTAATTTGAGGTTTAGTTATAAAGATACATAATGACAAATTTTGGAAAGTTATAAAAAATGATGACCTTTTTCGATATTTTCGCTGAGGAAAAATCGTTCCCAAATTGACCAAAGAATCCATTTGTAATCGTTGGTCCATTAGTTACCGGACATCCTGTATATGTGTATATATATATATATATATATAATATGCAAAAAATCCATACAGTACAAAATATTATGAATGTTTTCAAAAAATATTTCTATAAAATATTGTATAAAAACATTCAAAAATTTAAAGAATATTTTAAAATGATTTAAAAGTTTTTGTGACAACATTTTTCAAAAATATCTAAAAAACTTAAATATTTTTAAAAATGTTTTTTTTTATCGCTCAGATAATATTTTCTTAAATATTTGATACATATATTTTTGAAATATTAGTTTAAATCTATATTCAAAAATATTTTTTAAACATGAAACAGCGGACATAGAAACATTTTAAAAATATTTTTGAGAATTATTTTATCTTTTAAGAAATATTTTTAAAAGATTTTAAAAATATTTTATGTTGTATGGAAATAATTCATTGATACCTACGTATTTAATGCAGCAAAAGTCTTCCAACGAAATAAATTTTCCTTGGACAATAATTTCAATCGATATACCTTTTAAACATTTAATAATTACATTTTTTATTTTTTTAATAATATTTTGATAGCAAAAAAATTTAATTAAAATATTTGATAGTTAAAACAAAGTTTTCTTTGATTTTAATGTATTCAATTATTATCTGATATAAATTGATCTATTACATCTGCATTAATAATATATAATTTAAAGGATAATTCATACCCAGGTAGTAGACTATGACATCATTAAATATCAAAATGACGTTATTTTGACGTTTAACGTCATTTTGACGTTTAATGACGTCAGTCTGCTCCGTGTGGATACTCTCGTAAATAACACTATTATATATATGTGATATCAAATAATTACATGATATAATTTATAAAAATTTGAGGAGAAATTAGCTTCTCGAGCCAAGACGATCAACTACCCGCATTAATCGGGAGCAATCGCCTTTTCCAGACGACAACAATGTACATTCCGAATTCGGGAAAAAGTGAGCGGTCAACGCGGCACGAACCCACAACCGGTATAGACGTGCCAAAAAAAATTTCGATTATTTACACGCAGAAATACACGCAAATATATAAGTTCCAAACAATAAATGGCAACTGGCAGCGACAACGATGAGAGAAAAAATGACCGGCACCAGTACGCATCGATTCGATTCGCACCTGTTTTGCGCTGTCAAAGTCGCGTGCGATCGGACACGCGGCGTACGGCGTTCAATCACAGTTCACGTTACTGCGCGAGACTACTACGATTCCAATTTGAACTATAGGAGGAACCGACGAGCTCGTCACGTCGCCAAATCATCAGGATCACGCGGATTCTGGGGCATACTCATCGAATCAATCGGAGAGGACGTGGCAACTTCTGCTCGGCATCATGACGATGATCATCGTGAAGTTCGTAGTGACTATGTAAAAAAAATAGCGCGAATAATAATGACGAAACTCAGTTTTCGCAAAAATATACGCGAGTGCTACTTTGAAAAAAAGAAAAACTTATCTGCCATGGTGACGACGCGATCGGAATCGTTATATTAATACGATGATTTAGAATTTATTATTGCGCTCCCGATAAGTATAGATAGCTAGAAAAATTACGACGAGCAGGCATTTAGCCAACTGAATCCAGCTGAACTGCGCACGGCTGCGCATTGATTAAAAATAATTCGCGCAGCTCTGTGACGTGTATTTTTTAATTTTGCACACGCCTTATTATAATTAATTACCAGTGCAAAATAATGTGTGTATACGCGCGTATATATAATTTTATACATTTGAACAATCTCAGCAAACCCCGATATATAACTGTTACATTGCTATAATAAAACGGAATGTAACAGGTAATATAACGTGTACATTACATGTAACATCCATGTTAGTTGTAATTTCCCACTCATAGATGTAACATTTTTAATATAACATATATTACATTGTAGTTATATTGTAATTATATACCAAATAGCACATTGATGTATTGATAAATCAGTGCTATCTTGGGATATAATAACAATATGACTACAATGTAATATATGTTATATTAAAAATGTTACATCTATGAGTGGGAAATTACAATTAATATATATGTTACATGTAACATGCTTGAATACTTACATGTATATAACATTTATATACCGTGTTTGCTGGAATCTTTTATTAATACACAGTAATGTAACACAGGACATTCTATACACTGCCTATTTATTCGTGTATCCATCATTTGCAAAGACTTTAAATGTCGAAGGTATTTACTGATTTTTTGGGACTCGTAAAGTTCTATTAAAATCAAGTGGTATGTGGGATACATATGACACTTTGCGAGAGACATGACAATTAATAATTAAAAAGCAATAATCAGAGTCTTTGACTGACAATACTATCGAAAATATTTGTTGATTAAAAAGTATTACATGGGTATTATAGATTTTTCTATTTATATGTATATGTTAAATTAGAAAGTGCAAAATGGATGTCCGATGGAATCTTTTTACTTAAAAATGCAAAATACTTTTTAGATTTACACTTATTTATATTAAGAAATGAAAAATGGTTTTTAAATAATCATTTTTTTAATATTTACATTTTTACATTTATTTATATTTAAACATTTTTATTTTTATTATTTATATTTCTTTACTATTATTTTTTATTATTAAAATCTGATTTCTTTTAATATCAACTTGAATTAAAAATTAAATTATATAAACATTTGGGATTACAAAAAATGTTTGCCTATATATTGTTTATATATAAATTTCATTGTTTATAATTACTTTTTAAAATAACATTTTGATTATTGCTCTTTAAAATTAAATCGTATTTTCAGACAAACAGTTTTCCAAAGAGCTAATTCTCCATTTTCCCCATTTTACAAAAGATTTCATAATTAGAATTATGTTAGAATGAGGACGTGGCAGCATTGCATTGTACATACATTTTATTGATATATTGATTAATTTTTATTTTGCAAGAAAAAATGCATTTAAAATGGAAAATGATTAATAAAAACCATATTTAAATGGAAATGTAAAATATAGTTTTCGAAAAAATGTATTTTATTAAGGTTCCTGGATTCTCACCGACTATATATGGAATTGTGGCATTAGAGGTGAGAAAACACACGCTAAAAATTCTTAGATGCCATTTCGAAATAAAAAGATATATCGATAAAATATACTTTAGATGCCTTTAATACTCTTGAAATGCCTCGCAAACTATCATTTTGCCTTTATAATCAATCAACAGATGTTTTTCATTGAAAAATGGTATCTAAAAATTTTCAGCGTGTGCTTTCTCGCCTCTGACGTTATAATCTAACATAGCCGCGGCGAGTACTCACAGGTGCCTGCAAAATACAAAATAGGCATTTTATATTTTATATTTCTATTTTAAATGCATTTCAAATAATGCACATCTCTGGCGAAAATATATTTTCTGTATAAAATTTTGCACAAAAAAATATATATACATATATATCATTAATTATATTCTATATACATATATGTATATTTTATTTCTTCGACATATAATCTAATTTATCCAATGTTTAATTATACTTATTGCGTGCTCTATCCACATTTATACGTGTATCTATAGTACTCATGTAACTACTATATTATGTTACACTCGTTAGGATAATTGTTATCTTATGTGCCTTAGAAATATTTTTGTAATTTATACATTAAAGAGAGGATTGCATATGTAAATGTCGAGTCTATCTAACTGCAGCTTTTTTGGAATGTCGCTTCAAACATGTGATCGCTTACTTATCGCCCATGTTATATAGTTACGCGACATTGTGTAGATCGAAGAAAACACCAGTTTTTATGTAATGCTTCCATAATTTCTGTCAATAATAGCTTGTTTATCTTATGTTTTTATATATAATTATATATAAAAATATATATATACATCTGTATATGTCATGTATGTATATATTTATTAGAATTGGTAAATTATGAATAATTAACTCAAGTTAGATGGATTTCTCTGACAATGGTGCTGTTTGTGAGAATTTATATATATGTCGGAGGCCAATGGTTATTTTCAGCAAATAGCTTTTAACTAGTCAAATGCTATTTCCCATGTCAAATGGTTTTCGCCTCTTTTCAAATGCTACTTTCCTAGTCAAATGTTATTTTCTTAGTCAAATATTATTTGACTGAACCGCTGTTAGGCAAATGGTATTTAGCATATACTTTTCCACGCGAAGCGAGGTTTCACATGGATTTGAAACTTTCCACGCGAAGCGAGGTTCAATCCAAACCTATTTGTCTAGTTTTCTGGTAGTGGAGCTCTCCCCACAGGGGGCGAAACTCACTGTGTCCACGCATCCACTTTTCCACGCAAAGACGAGATTCCACATGAGTTTGCAACATTCAATAGAGTTATAACGTTGTATATTATATTGTTCTATCCATTTTCACGCAAAAGGGCTGCCTTAAATTCGAAGTGTTCCATTCGGAATAATATCCAAATTTATTTCCATTTTCCTAAAAAAACGTTCAGGCAAATGCTATTTGCCTAGAAAGATAACATTTGGACACAAATAAACGGGCGAAAGCCATTTGACATGACAGATAGTATTTGACTAGTCAAAAGTTATTTGCTGAAAATAACCATTGACCTGACATATATAAAATTCTTATGTATATAAAGCATTAGATTCTCAATTCTACAAAATAAAAGTGCACTTTCAACTGCGTTTACAAAACGTAATGTTATCTCTTTATTAAGAAAAAAAAGAAACTGTAATCAGATCAGTGTTAACAGATGTTAATATACTTGTATTCCATATTTTTTTACATTTGAAAGTGTTTTAATGATAATACTAGAGAAAATTCTCTCTGATAATACTGTATTTTGACAAGTACTTAATTGTTAATAATTACTCTTAGTCTTTAAATATTATATTAGCAGAGTAAAGAGACAAGAAAAACCTTGTATTTTTTGTTAAATAAAAGAAAAGAAATTACTTATTTTTTTCCTCTTTAGAAGATTAGTAATTTGTAAAAAAAAAATAAATAAATTGTTTTAAATTAACTAAATTATTAATTAATTGGTTAACATATATGTACAGCTTTGGCATCAGCTATACATGATATCTACATGAATTTAATTCTATATGTATATAGTACATGCAAGGTTTTTCTTTACATTATTACTGACTTCAGGGTGTTGATGATTCATACTGAAACTTGCCACACCATTGTGTCGTATCCTAAATAAAATCTCTATTGTATTATATTTTTCATTGTCATATAAATAGTATTAATAAATATGTTTATTTTAATTGTTATTTTTTTTAATTAGATATTGTATTCAGCATTACAAAATTATGTTCTACTATGTAATATATATGCCGACTTTATATTATCTAGAAAAAATTGATTGTATAAAAATATTACAAGTATATTTATTTTGTTATTGTTTCTTTTCTATTTGCATTATAAAATTGTGCTCTACTATGTTTGTAATATACAGGGTGAGCCATTTTAATCAACGTAAATATCTCGTATAGTAAGCAAGATGGAAAAAATGTTTCGAACGAAAGTTTTTTGACTATGAGGGGAACATAAAACGGTGTTATTGATTTGAACTTGTATAATCATTTAAAGCTCACGTGAATGTCACCTTCAATTTCTTAAATAGAATCTGCTATTTTTCATTACATATTCTTATAGCTTATCTAAAAAGCTTTCCAAAATCTATAATAAAGTGTTGTTTGATGAAGTACTTTTCAAATTATAAAAGTTTAAAGTTTTTTTTACAATTTTTGGCATAAATGTAAAATATCTTGTAAAATGTTCAGTTCAAATCAATGACACCATCTTATGTCCCCCTCATAGTCAAAAAACTTGTTTGAGATATTTTTTTCATCTTGCTTACTATACGAGATATATACGTGCGTTGATTAAAATGACTCACTCTGTATATGCTGACTTTATATTAACTAGAAAAAATTATTAGTTGTATAAAAATATCACAAGTATATTTATTGTTTCTTTTCTATTTGTACAAGATTTTTCTTTAATACTGGCTTATATGTTAGAAGTTTACCATAATTTTTAAGAAGTTGTTTCCAAAAATATGTAATGTCCGACAGTCGCAAATTATTCCATACAAAAGTTCTACCGCGATATGCAATTTTTTTCACTAATTCATCATTATTCCTTGCAAATTCAATCAAATCTCTGAAAGCATAACGAAATAAAATAGATTAATCTTGACAATTTAATAAAAATAAACATAATTAAATATTTTAATATCTTACTCTAACTCTTTTTGATTTGCGTTTTTAGAAACTGGTATATAATGAATCCATGGTTTCATGGCATAATAATAAAATTCAGTCCATTCATCACCCACATGAAAAACTAGTGATTCGCATAAAAATAGATGTTTGTGTCTAAACGAAGCCGCCACACCACGAAAATTAAACAAGTATTTATATCTACAATGAGACTCCAAAGGCACCTCTGATGCTGGTGCTACATTCAAAGTATCCTAAAACAATATTTATATAAAGATATAATATTGTATTAAAATATGCATAATTTATGTGCATATATAATACCTGATTAATATAATTATATTTAATATTATATAATTATATATACTAATATTAAATATATTATTATACCTCATTAGACTTCCATGCCTGATTTTTAGTATATTGAGCATCCACCAAATAAGGTTTATTACGACTTAATAAAACTAAGTTATCACGTTCTGAACTTGTTCTAGAACCACGAAAGAATCCTTTATTTTCTTTCTTTTCCCATGGAGTTTCTGAGTTTGCTTTATTTAAGAGTTTACGATGTTGATCCCATCTGCCAAGACCACGAGGATACAACGAAATAGCTGGACCACCTTCCCAAAATGCCCATGCTGGATACATAATATCATAATATTGCGATGTCTATAAATACATTTTGCAAGCTGCTCAACTTTCATTATATTAAATAAGTGTAATTTAATTACATAAATATATTTGCTTGTAAAAGCTTCAGAATAGATAACAGATAAGAGAATCTCTCACCTTACTAAATGAAAAAATAGGCATCGCATTACCAAAATATTCACTGGATTGAGGATAATCTCTGGTATTTATAATTATATCCATATCTGATAAGTTACCAATTATTTTTAATAAAAAATGTTCTATTCCAGTGCATCTGGCAGGAAACATACAGTCCTTCTCTCTGTATAATTTTCCTCCAATTATTTGGTAGAATGTACCCCTGTGAATACAATAAAGTTTAGTTTTTATAAATAAAAGACAGAAAAGATTGATAATTATCTCATCAATATAAATCAAGATTGTGTAAAAACCTGGTTTTTGCAGCAATTATCATTTCTTCGCTTATACCTTTCTTTTTAAAAGGGTTTAAATCCCGTCTGATAACATCGCTAAAGCACGAGTTCTTTGTGTTGTTGCACTCTTTATAATTTTGTTCCGCATCTTGAATCATTGTTAAGTATTTTTGATATCCCTCATTTATTGCTAAAAATGTGAAAAAGAACAATACACATATTGGATTATTTTATTATATACATGATTTTATATTATATATTTAAAAAATTTCAGAATTATTAGTAATTAATTTTTATTTGAATTTGTTAATACAATTATAAGAATTATAAATCCATACCTTTTGTATACGATAGTTTCTGGTGATCAATCTCGCTTATTTTACAGAAGTTAGCACTGTCCGCCGAACAGAATTGTTCTTCGCATAAACCACTAACAAAAAGTGTCAAAAGGATGGTATAAATTAATCTCAACATTTTTTCATAGTTATTCAACCATCCATATCCTTCTTCTTCTCAAATTTTAATGATCACAGCTGATTATTAATGATTTTAGATCAGTTCTTTTTGACTGAACTCAGCTGAAGTCAGGCCCGTTCTACAATACGTTGTATGTCGCAGTTGGATGTCAGAACACAGTAGAACCAGTATTTCGACTCTCTGTCGGCACCTTTGATCTTTCATTTCCGATTATCTGTCATGTTTTTGGGTGGCCCAATAGCGTATCTATTATTAAAATGCCCCAGTTTTTATTGTATCTAGTTTAAGCACAAATTTATAAATAATCCGATTATTTATTGTTAAAAATTTTATATTTATACCTTAAATAAAATAATAATGTAAAAAGATATAATTTTGGTAAACGTATATTTATTGCACATTAAACATTCACATGTGACACTGTGACCACAGTATTCCGTCTGTGAGCATCACACTGATCTTGCGTTTGATTGGTTCCACCCAAAAACATGGCGGATTGACGCAAAAAGGGTGGAGTGCACATACTGGTTCTACTGTGGTCAGAACTATGATGTAATAAGAAAGGTGAAACAACATCACAATACTGTGGCAGTAGTCCAATGTCTCGACCAATAAGATTTGAGTCCAAATCCTCAAAACATATGACTTGAGTTCCAAATGTCAAATACCAAATGTCAATTATATAAATTAAAAGTAAGGCCCTTTACATACCCTTTACACCCTTAATCGGATTTAATAACATCTGTAGTTGTAAGACTGGCCAATCACAGTTGTTCCATTCTTCAGGGGAACGGCTGTGATTGGCCAGTCTTACAACTACGGATATTATTAAATCCGTGTAAAGGGCCTTAATAAGGCCTTAATAAGGGCCTTAATACATTGTATGTCGCAGTCAGATGTCAGAACGTAAGGGCCTGAGCACAAAGATTGTTGTAGTCGTTTCCGACAGATAATAAACGTAAATCGGAGATGTAAATCAATGTACAATGATTTAGGCCGTATTCATATATAGCTGTTTAAGCAAGCTTTGGCACGTTTTCACGATATACGGCATACGCTACGGCTTGTGCGTTAACCTATGTTTACATCTCCGATTTACGCCTGCGACTTAAGCGGGGAGCACACACTCTTGCATATATATATATAATGTAGAAAAACATTATAGACTAATAAACATTTTGTTTACACAATATAAACTTTACTAATTTCTACCTTAAACAAGTATATTTGATTACTATCTAATTTATTTATTTTATTATTGTTTTATTTTTTTTCGTATTTTATCTTTTTCTTTTATTATAAATTTATATTTATATGTATTTTTTATATTAATTTTTATCTGTATATTTAACCTCCAATCACATTTTGCGATTACAATTTCTTTTATTATTTAATAAAATTTATTAAAATTTTAAAATCTGTAATTTTCACATTTTAGATGCACATAATAGTTTTTATTTAAACTTAAAACATTTTTTATATATTTATTTCTATTTATATATTATACAAAAATTTTATATTCATAAAAATTAAAATTAAAAATATACAAATGACGCAGGTTCTTAAAATTATTGGCACGGTACTGTCCGCCAGAAACATGGCGGACGCTGAAAAGTTGGCTGAAAAAATCAAAGGTGCCGACGCTGTGTGTCCCTACTGTATATTCTTATACAGTTCTGTGAAGTTAGCCTACCAAAATTAGATTTTCGAAGTTTCAATAATTGGAATCAATATTTGGTCTTTTATTGATCATTGTTGGTCATATTTTAGCTTTTGTTGGTTATTAGTTTGATTGTTATTTAAAAAATAAATATCAATATTATAACAAAATTATTTTTCAATTGCTCACATATACTGCGCATGCTGTTTCCAACCATTAAGTTAGCTCTCTACAAATATATTATATATATATATATATATATATATATATATATATATATTATTATATATATATTATATTATTATATATTATTTTCTCAACACAAAGTTTATATCGTTAGTACAATTACTTTATTAAGAGATAAAAGAAAGTCATTAATAATATTTTGTATTATTTATTATATTATAAATATTTAATTTGTAATAATGAAGGATTACAAAGAGATGTACGCTAAAATCCTAATAAATACACTAATATTAATTATAAATGTGTCAATTTAAACGTATTTGTATAAAATATCTGTTTCATCTAATTGTACATTTCTCTGATCGCGGAATAATATATTTGTAGAGAGCTAACTTAATGGTTGGAAACAGCATGCACAGTATATATGCGCATGCGCAGTATATGTGAGCAATTGAAAAATAATTTTGTTATAATTAGTAAATAATCGACCAACAATCATTTCTAAAGACATAATTGGGACCAACAATCGATTTCCTATCGATTTGACGTATAATTAATTAAATTCTATTAAAATTGTATATTTAGGTAACTTCACATTGATATTTATTTTTTTAATAACAATAAGCTAAAATATGACCAACAATGATCAATAAAGACCAAATATTGATTCCAATTATTAAAACTTCGAAAATCTAATTTTGGTAGGCTAACTTCACAGAACTTTCTTATACTGTGGTTCTACTGTGGTTCTATTAAGGTGTGAATTCGGCCTAAGGCCATACCTATTATATATGCGACCTTAATGTGAGAGATTTATTATTTTTTGCTTTTAAAGCAAATAATGAACCAACAAACGCCATAATTAGACCAACAGTCATTAAAAAACGATTGCGTATCGATTGAATCGTTTTTTAAACAAAATGAGATTTTTTCGACTAACTTTACGCTAATTTATTTTCTTTATTTAAAAAAAAATATAAATTAACAAACATTTAATTAGGCCAACAACAATTAGGCCAACAACGATTAGGCCAATAAACGATTAGCTACATAAAATTAGAAAAGTCAAAGTTGACTAGACAAGTTCTCGGAGCTTGTTTTGATTGGTTGACGCGACGGATGACGCGATCCATGACGCACTGGAAACTCAGCCTAATCTTATATTTATTTCAATTTGATATTTTTTCATTATTTTATTTGATTAATATATAATTTCTCTATTAGAAAGAAGGAAAATGAAGAGTAATAACAATATATTCACTTAAATTAAAAAAAAACAAGAAATATAGTTGTAAAAGAAATTAAAAGACTTTTAAAATGATATGAATGTTAACACCTGCTAATTGTCATTTAAGATTTTTGAAGAGGCAATTACACCTAAATGAGGGAGATGAAACAATACCGTTGCATTTATCGAATATATTATAAATTTTATAAATGATATAGGTCGGTATTCATAGTCGGGTCTTATATTTAAGACCATCTTAAGGGCCTTCTACAATGAAGTGTCGTAGACCGTAGTCGTAAGAAATTAACACACCGCACAGTCGATTATTTCAAAAATAATAAATTGTGATAGGTCAATTTATCTTACGACTACCACCTACGATATTCCATTGTAGAAAGCCCTTTAAGTTTATCTTAAGATTCGATACGTTCCCTTCGACAAATTTGACTTCTTGGCATTTTTTGCAAAAATGAGTCGGTTACAAAATAAATTTTAAGGAATAGAAACTTTTAAAACTTTGAAAACACTGTATACATATATTATATATAATGCCATTTTTATATATAAAGAAAAGTATGACACAATTATTTTTAATACCATTGCTAATAATATTATAAATTTTATAAATGATATATAGGTCGGTATTCATAGTCGGGTCTTATATTTAAGACCATCTTAAGGGCCTTCTACAATGAAGTGTCGTAGACCGTAGTCGTAAGAAATTGACACACCACAGTCGATTATTTCAAAAATAATAAATTGTGATAGGTCAATTTCTTACGACTACCACCTACGATATTCCATTGTAGAAAGCCTTTTAAGTTTATCTTAAGATATTTCGTAGCCAATGAAATATGATCCGTACAGCATCTGAAGATGAACTTAAGACGATCTACAGGCCGTATATATCTATATATATATATATATATATATATATATAAATACAAAACTTCGCTCGTCTATTGTATATACAACTAGTGAGAAATAAAAAGGCCAACTTATCGAGCAATTCTTAGAGTTGTTCTGTCAAATTAAAATTTATTACATATATATACTAAACATAAAACATTATGTAAAAGCTACAAACATTCTATAGTAAAACTTAAGCGAAAATTACAATTATTATAATTAATGGTTAACTCCAAATTTTTATTAAAAATTGTGGGTGTGATAACAATAGACATCTGTCCACAAGGTTGTAAATTATTCCAATTTTATGGCATAGTGGATGGTTAGAAAAAAATGATAAAGTCCTTCCTGAGAAGGTTTCTTTTTGATACCAATCAATGTATATTGTATTATTAATAATTTTTAGTGATAAATCTAAGAAATTCAAGCTACGGTTAACCTTCTGTTCTACTATGAATTTAAGTCTATCATGATAGTTATTAAAATTATTAACTATCTAAGTCATATTAATTATAGAAGTGGTCAGTATTATGTCATCTACGTAACGAAAGTAAAACAAGCATTTTAAATTTAACGCTTTAAGAACTGTATCCTCAAGATCTTGCATAACCAAGTCAACTATAATTGGTGATAACGGAGACTCCATAGGGGTCCCAAAAGTCTGTTTGTAAATTATGTCATTAATAAAATAAGTAGAAGTCAATATAATTTTTATACCACGTATAAATTCGCTTTTCGATATTCTAGTATTTATTTCAATGTGATCCCATCTATCATTAATCCCACTAATCGCAAGATCTAGAGGTACGTTCGTAAATAAAGAAACAACATCTAAAGAAAACATCTTATCATTCTCATCAATCTTTTTACCAGACAACATGCTGTACAAATCAAAACTATTATTGATATGACTTTTAGCTTTAGGTAGGCTAATTCGTAAGATGTTTTGTAAAAACGAAGTAAGCAAGTATAAAGCTGTATCCACCGATAAAACTATGATTCTAAATGGATAGTTTTTCTTATGGATTTTAGGTAATCCGTATGCTTTTGAAAGGAGAGAATCACTAGAACGTAATTTATAATATTCATTTTTTTGAGATATAATCTTCCTTAAGCCATTTCTTCAACAAATTATTCAATTCATTCTCTATTTTTTTGCACAGACTTTTATTAATAATAGTGTATGTATTAACATCTTTTAATAAGTTTTCATTTTATTAATATAATAAGATCTTTCCATTGCAACCGTAGCGTTATCTTTATCCGCGCGTGTGAATATAATATTCGGATTATCTTTGCAAAATTTTATTGAATCTCTGTATGAACAAAATAGTTTTTAAAACCACAATCTCCACTTGATTCCTCTCGACCAATAGAGCCAAACGCGATGTTATTGCGACAATTATGAAAGAAAGAAAATTTGGAAAAGTAGTTTTTGTTGAATTAAGTCATTTCTATCATTAGTGTTGAGAAGTTGTGCAAAT